TTAAGTTCCTTAACAGCCACCCACTCCTCGAGCTTCAGCCCTTTACTGAGTGGCTGTTAAGGAACTTAATTTAAGTTACCATAATGGGTATATATAGTAAATAATAAGGTTTCCCCAATATAGTAACTTAATCTAAGTTCCTTAACAGCAACCCAGTCAAAGTACGGCCCAGGCAGGCTTTGGAAGAAGGCCTCCGCAGCCAACGCCCTGAGGCCTAGCTTTGGGAGGACTCCTCAAACCTCACGGTCTACACGGTTTAGGGTTTAGGGTTTTGGGTTTAGGGTTTAGGGTTGTGGGGTCTAGGGCTAACTCTAGAGATCCAAGTATATAAGCAATACCTAGATGGGGCCCTAAAATCTATGAATATTACCTACATTGGGCTATTTGGATCCTTGGGCCCTTAGGGTAAGGTTTCAAGGTTTGGGTCTTGGGAAGTAGGATTTAGGATGCCCTAAACCCTAAAACCGGGCTTGAGGCCGAGCTGTTGGGTGGAGTTCAGGGTGTTGGGCTTACTGGACCGACTTGCTTTCCCAACCCTGAACCCCTAAACCCTCAACCCTTGGGGTATCCAGTGTCATAGTTTCTCGGGGATGGTATAACTACATAGTGACTGTAGGGTTTAGGGTTTGAGGGTTAAAGGTTTAGGGTTTAGGGCATGATTGGGATTTAGAAGGCCAGGTACTGGTAGAAATGTTCAACTAGTGTTTGTCGCCACAATATGAAACCATAAGCTCCCAAACCCCCACCTCTTAACCCGATATCCCTAAACCCTAAGCCTGAGCCCTAAAACCCAAAGCATCAAAATCCAAGTTCTGAATCCCACACCTCCAAAACCTGAACCTTCAATCCTCAACCTTAAACCCCGAACCCTCAGCCCTGAAGCCCAAGCCCCAAACCCTAAATAACCCTGTCCCCTAAACCCTAAGCCCTAAACCCCTTAAACTCTTGGAGAAAAAAGGTCCAATTAGAAAATCTAAACCATGAGCACTGGCGGATGGAAAAAAGCAAACAAAAACACACACTAATCATTAAAACCTGTAACCCCTAACCCCAAATTCCCTAAACCCTAAACCTCTAACCCCTGAGCCCTTAACTCCTAAACCCTAAGCCCTAAACCCTAAAACCCAAGCCCTTTAACCCTAAACCCTTAACCACTCAACCCTTAAACCCTAAGCCCTGAACCCTAAGCCCCAAACCCTAGACCCCATGCCCTAACCCCTAATCCCTAAAAACCCTTGCATCCATGCAGCCGCGAGGCAACCCTGCAAGGGCGGCAGTGTGTGGCAGCGCACTTTCAGTGACCCTTCTGCTGTTAAGGAACTTAAATTAGGTACCATAATGTGGGTATATAGGGTTTAGGGCGAGAGTTGGAGAGGGGTTGATCCTCATGCGAGACACAATTTAAACTTCTTGAAGCAGGTTATATCAGGGATTACACAGGGGATTACTGTAGTGGATATTAAGGGGGATACTAGTAGTTTAGGCTGTAGCTCATGTAATCCCCATATATACCCTTAAAATGATCCCAAGATTCACTCCCCCAACCCTAAACCCTGAGCCCTAAACCCAGAACCTTACATTCCCTCTTAAGCACCAGCAAGGTGAGGATGGTAAGGTCCATGACCCAGAGAGGTCTCTGAGGCCCGCCCGTGTGGTGTAGGCGTGGAAGTATTGGGGGATAACATGGGCTCTTAGCATGTCTAGTTAGTAGGGGCGTATCTATGTACATTATATATATATGTATATACGTATATGTATTATATATATAGAGAAAGAGAGATGTATGAGCACATGCTGTGCATGCTAGGTCGATTGGGACACACGGAGCCCACGTTGCAATCTTGGATGTGGGGTGCAGGGTTCTCAGGGTTAAGTAGTGGTTTGGGGTCTACAATTGGCATTGTGGGCGATAGAAGCCAGAGACTTGGAACATGGCTGCCATGTTTCACCGCGTAACTCTTCGGATCTTGCTGCAAAAGATCTGTTTACATCTTCACAGTTAACCCTAACACTAAGCCCCTGGACTCGCATGAAGGCCGCCCAACCGCTGCCGATATGCATCGGCAGAGCTGGCTTTTGACAGCGGCACTTCGCAGTACCTTCGCTGTGCTTAGGGTTTAGGGTTCAGAGGGGTGTGGCACGATGATGAGTCGTTGTAATCATGTATTTCTCATGCTTCTCATTCACAAGCCATACCCCCTAAAGGATCCAAAAGATGGAACTCCCTAATCATTCCCTAGTTTCCCGGTGTGGTCATGGGCATGGGTTCATATTGGAGGGGTCTCCAGTTTGGGATCCTAACCCTAGAACCTAAAATCCTAAACCCTATATTGGGGGTGTTGGGGGGGCGGTCCATTTTTTACCTTTAGGGGGGTCTGGGGAGTCTGTGCTGATCATTCGTTGCTGGAAAATTTCGAGGTCACTCTGTCATTTGTGGTTGTCCTTTCAGTACATTGTTCTTTTGCAGTCTTCTTATGTACTCACGGGCGAGTGCCACTCATGGCTATACTACCCCTATATAAACCCTATATAACCCATTACAGTAGTTTCCATTTGCTTTTCCATTATCCCTATATAACCCCTGGGACCAAGCTGAGCAAGGCAAATCCTAAAAGCTGAAGCGCAAACCTGATCGACCGACAGCCATCCTGTGCTACCGCAAGAGTGGTCCGGAGCGCATGGGTTAATGTTAAATACCAGCGTCTGAACTTCGCTCTTGGGGTCCAAGTTTCCAGGTGCCACGCACTTCTGCAAGACGCTGTCCTACAACTTCTGTTGCCAAACCATCCCCTTTGTGGAAATGCCTATTAAAGAGTTTCCTGGAACCCGTATGTTCAGGAATTCTTGGTGTTTGTACAATGAGAACTTCCGTTTTTGCCGGCTCATGTAGATGGAGACGGACCCTAGAGTTTTGAGAATTACCCTACACCAAACCCCACACGCCAAACCCAAGGTACTGCCTGATCTCCCACGAAGCAGAGCCCGAAGATCTCTTAGAGACCATCGTTTGCCCGGAACATTGGCTTGCAATGAAAACGGTGAAGGGTTTTCTGGAAGACTCGCAGGCCATTTTTATTGTTTTGCGCCGTAGCCATCTTGAGGCAGTTGTTTCAACAATGGCAATTTGGGGGAAGGATGTGGATAATGATCATGTGAAGTTGGCCCTTAACCTAAGAGCTGCTAAGGAAAGTCAGGGCAGGCCGTGAAGAGTTCTTGGGCAGGGCTGGGGATGTGGGCGTTGGGTCTAGCAGTCTGACAGTGGAGCTAATTAAGGCTGTGGAACTATCGTTTGGGCCTTCAGTGATGTGTCGTTCCGTTGCAATTTCCCATTTGCCGCGCTTCCCCCGAAGCATGCAGTTCGTGCAATAGCCCCAAAATTGTAAACTTGGTCTTGCGGTCAATCTTTGATAAGACAATCTTACCTTGGGTGTGCAACGAAAAGGCCCCCCTCAAACCCTAAAGCCCGATACAAAGCCCAGACCTCTCAACTCTCCAAAATCAACAAACACAAGCCTTGAAAGACAACAGACACCAAAACCCTGCACACTCAACATCCCGGGCACAGAAAATGACATCCTGAAAGCATTGAAGATGTTGGAAATGGAGCCACAATATCTGGAGCACATACCTTCTATAAACCCCTACATAATCCCTAGATAACCCCTATACAATCCCTAATATAATTCCTGCAGAACCCCCACATATAATCCCAATATTACCCTAATATTGCCCCAATATAACCTTGATATAACCCCAATTTAACCCTAAAACTACACAAAATATAACCCTAATATATAATCCCTTTGTTTAGGATGGCTAAGGAGTGGGGGCTCCGCAGCCCCAACCTGATCCTGTCCATCATGGGCGGTGCCGGGATGCTTGGGTTGGAAGGGTCTAAGGTGTAGGGTTTTAGGGTTGCAGGGTTTAGGGCTGAAGTGTGTAGGGGTTGAGCTGTTTAGGGTTTAGGGTTCCAAAGTTTAGGGTTGAAGTGTTCAGGGTTTAGGAATCAGGATTTGGGATTCTACGGTCTGGGAGATGTTTAGGGTGGTTGAAGGGCTGCAGGTTGGGGAGCAAGGTTAGGGGGAACTGATGGCCAATGGATCCTGTGGATGTCTGGGTTGGCAAAGAGTAGGTTTATGCTGTCCCCTCCCTGGGCCGGTTTACTTGGGCCCAGGAATGTCCAAGAAAAAGTAAGCAGTTTTCTTCATCTAGCTAGAGCCTTTTTCGGACCGTCTGCAGGGTTTGGGGTACTACGTGGGGGTCAATGGGACGTGCCTGCAGGATTTGGTATGAGATGGCTGTCCATCAAAGCCTTCGGATTTGAGTTCAGGGTCTGGGCAATTGAAGCTATTCGAAGCGCTGAATGGAACACACCGAGCATCATTTGTGCAGTACGTATCTGGTAAGGAAGCAGGCAGCCTTTCATTCTCTAAGTTCATAAAATGTCTTGCGCCTCTCTGCAGTTGGCAGAACAACGCCTGCTGAACATCAACGTCCACCATCAATACCTACTCCTTTATACACTGTCCAACAGAGGTATGAGCCTGTCATCCGAAAGAGGCATCCACCATGCCATCGCGAACCCTAAGCCCTTAATTACCCTGAAACCGCGCTCAGGAATATGGTTCTCCCCGAGGCCAAGTTCGACATCGAGGGCTTCTCAAAGGGTTTCTGGGCGGTGCAGAACCCTTACCATGCTCCGAAATCTGCTGAGGCGCTCAAGGAAGTGTAAGGAACGCAAGTGTGAATCCTTCCTGCAAGTAAATGACTGAAATCACCATGAGAAATCTCCGTTGAACTCCATGCCAACGTTTCAGAAGCAATCCCTGTAGGCTAGCAAGCAACTCGCATTGAGATCATGAGTAATCCCCTCCCATGATAAGAAACACCCCCCACCCTCCCGACTAATAATCTTGCGCTTAATGTATATAATTGTGCCATATCCAGAGGGTGGGTGTTTATCATTGGGGTAGAGGTTTCATTGTGTGGGGGGATGGGATTAGCACCATAATGCCATGCATCCAAACTTCAAAGCTCCTAACTCTGGAGGTGTCTTAGCATGATGGATCCATACATGGTAGCCTGACCCCAGACATTCAAAACTTGAGCCAGGAACACTCCACAACATGACCCGAAGAGCAAATGTATAAGGCGCCTAGAGAAATTGCGCACCGTTTTGCTTGAGCTGTGTTTTGTCCCCATGCAACGCCGGTGACCTCCCAGGTTTAGTGGAGGCAGCGACGCGAACGTCTGCCTGGGTGATCACAGGCGGCACAGCAAGCGGCGTCATGGAGATCGTGGGCACCGCCATGCGGAAGCATGACAAGCAGCGGCAGGCGAGGCGCTCCTTGATGATGGGCGGCAAAATTCTAGGTTGGAGGGCTGAGTGTAGGGATTGCCATGTACAGCTTGTATGAGGATTGGATGGGTTTGAGGCTTCGGGATGGGTCCCTTCTTTGACACGAATGGCACGAATGCGCCCAAGATACAGGTAAGATTCCACCTTCTTCAGGATCTGTCTTTTCCCTTCAGAGTGACTCTCTAAATCACAAAACAAGCGAGCAAACCCGCAGCATCAGGTGCCCTGTCTGGGTATCACCCCGCAGCCTGGACTCTTTGGTTGAGGCGCTTTCTACCAGGTTTCACATAGGAACTATCCTCAAGGGGGTTTGGCGAAGAGGCCTCAGCCCCTAAACCCTAAACCCTTATATGAAGGTATCAAGGCAAATGACTCAAGCCATGTTTGTGCCCCTACTAGCCTCTGTATGTAGGCGAGATAGGGGTCTTAGACGCATTGTGTTTCACTATATATGTTAGTTTCCCTGAATAGGGGGATCCCAATATAGACCCCAAAATGCTACCATCCTTACTATAATCACCCCCAAACGGGTACCCCCAATTTTGGGGAGGCAGGAGATCAGAGAGAGAGAGCTTGTAATGCACGGGAATTGCCTGGTGCTGCGTGAGTCTTGCGTTTGTGCTGCGGGATGACAAGGCTTGGAGGGTCCAACAAATTGCTGAGTACTTGCATGGGGCTGTGGTAACGCTAATTGTCTTGTTGTCTGGAAAATGCGCGAACACTTGGTCTGAACAATTGGGCAACGTTGCGGGGAGTTTGGGTTGGGTTTCGAAAGTGCTAAGAGGGGGGGCATGGTTTAATTTACAGCCGTTGTCGTCGTGATGTGCATTCCAACATGTTGGGGCGGCGGTTATTGTGGCGGTACTTGTGCGGGGAAGAGTGAAGCGAGGTGCTTGCACAAAAACGTCCCCAATACCTGTACAGCCATTGTTGGGCGTGGCTGCCTAGCAGATTTTAGTTTTCGTAGAGCACAACCAGTACGTCATCATACTTTTGACAAGGAAGACCGAAATTTTCGATTGAGAGGGCAAGGTCACAGGTTTTGCCTCCCATTCTCCCAAGATTACTACAAAACTCCAAGCCCTAAATCTATGGCCTAGCATATAATACCCCAAAGAGCAAGCTGCTCGATTTGCTCTAGACCCTCTAGACTACAATCCCAAGCGCAACTGCTTAGGTATGGAGCGCTAACAAGGGGCTGGCGAGACCTGGTATCCTCAGAGGTGGGAGTTTCAGGGTATTGGGCTTGGAGTACCCCAAGGAGTTATTGGTCGCGAATTACTTGCTGCTGAGTTATTTGAACAGGGACACAATGGGTTTGCTTGGGCACTCTGTCTTGTGCCACAGCCTTTGGCCTATGAGATCATTCTGACGAGCATGGTCACAGCAGCGCTAGATGCAACAGTTATGTGTGATAGTCGATATCGCATCTCAACTGTGGGTTTGTTCTTCTGATGCACTGTCGTCAACTGGAGAGTCGTCAGTCATGGTTTGTCAGCATGTAGGCTTTAAAGTCATCAATCGGTAGAAGGAGCTTCACAGCGCTGCAGAAACAGACGACAAGAAGCTAGCGGTAATGAATAGAGTGTTCTTCTGCCAGAGTCCAAGGACATTAGCGGAATGACAGCGATCGTCATCATTATCGTTAGTAATTATCATGTTATTGAGACCAGAATTTATCCCGATATCTCCTTCGGCGAAGCCCTAAACCCAAATCCCAAAACTTTAGCCCTAAACCCTCAGACCCTAAAATCCCAAATCCCTAAGTCCAAACCCTAAACTCTAAACCCCAAAACCTTACACCCTAAACCCTATAACCATCAGGTGGCATTCGAGCAGAGCTGCCCCGCCAACCCCGCCATGTCCAAAAAGATGGACGCAGCAGCAGCGAAGCCAGAAGGGACGAGCCTCACCTGAAGAAAACGTTTAAGGGGTTAGGGTTTAGGGGCTGTAGGGTTTAGGGTTAAGGGCTTAGGGTTTGAGGGGCTAGCTTTAGGGACTTCAGGGTTTCGGGTTTAGGGCCTTGGGTTTAGGGATCAGCCTCACTTGAAGAAGACCGTCCAGGGTGTAGGGTTCTAAGTAAGGATCCTAATAGCCCAATGTAATTAGGTAATGTTGATAGTCTTTAGAGCCCAAGGTGGGTATTTGTTTGTATACTTGGGTCCTTTGGGTTAGGGTTTAGGAGCTTGCGGTAATTAATTATGAGGGGACGATCCAAGGGAATTGCCGCAACAAAATTGTTTCAGGCTGGGGCCAAAAGACCTCCGATTAAGGTATTTGCCCGCCGAAGGTAGGGTAGCTCGGTTTCAGGGTTTCGCTTTAGGGCCGCGGAGTTTGTAGGGTTTAGCACTTAGGGTTTGGGAGAGTTGGGGGTATAGAGGTGAGGGCATGCTAGGTGTTGTGTATGTTGCGTTTAAGGCTCATGAGGGTACAGGATGTGAGATAGGTCGTTCAATTGTTACGCTGGCCAGTGTACACAGGGTTCTTTAGAATATTGGGTCGTCCGTTTAATGGAATCAGAAATGTGCAGAATTTTCCTCTAGTTTTGTACACATTGGTGGCCGCAGGCATTCTTCTTGATAGAGGTTATCAGCCAATGAAAAATTACTGGTGTTACTTGGGAAAATGAAAGCAGTCTCTTACGACTTGACCTGATTACTTGCGGGCGGTTGTTGAGGCAGGGCTATGGGAGCTTTAAGTACTAGCACGGCTTCAGCCTCCTCACTGTACTATGAAGTACGCCCTCATTTGTTTATGTTTTGTTTCGGGTGGTGGCTGTGGAGGAATGGGGGGCCACATGTAGGGTTCTGGCGCGAAGTGTTGAATAATGGGGGAAGAGGCTATTCAAATGTTTTTTTTCCCCCCCCCCCCCCCGGCTAGGTGACTTTGAAACTCGTCCTGTTCTACCTTCGATTATGCTAGAATCCCTCGTGCAAAGAGGTCCAAGATGGGGGCTTGACTTTTAAACACGATGCTGTTGCGTTGTCACAGGTGAGTCTTTGTCAGCATGCGTCACGCCTCACAACCCTAAACTCTAAACTTGCAGGACCCCTACGAAGAGACTCTGCTAAAGGTACCGACTTTCTTGTGAAGCACTGAACCCTGAAGCCCTGAACAGAACCTTAACGATTCCCAATCGTATGCCTCGAGCCTCCAACTATCCTTCATTTAGGCCTACGTACCCAGTGTTAAGGGCCCAATTAAGGGTACTAAACCCTAAGCCCTGAAAAAAACATGTAGTAGTTCCCATCTTCTTGTCCATTCCCCTATATACCCGCATATACACCAATATCCCCAATTAAGGGTACTTTCAGGGTCCGGGTGGGCAAATTCCAGGCAAGAAGCGGATGCTCGACCACTGGCTGAGCTGCAGGACAACCATTCCCACTTCATCATCTGCGACAACGGCAAGGCGTTGAAAAATCCTACACACCTGGACCCTCCTCCTACCCTCNNAGGGTACAAGGAGGGTCCTGGCATATAGATAGAGTGAGATACAAGGTGTTGCGCTCCCA